ACAAACTAAACCATATCTCATAGCTCCTCATCCAGGCACCTCTTCGCTTGAACACTGCTAGGGACGGCGACTCCACCACCTCTCTGGGCAGCCATTCCAGTGTCTGACCACTCTCTGAGACAAAAACTTTTTCCTCATATCTAACCTAAACCTCCTCTGGTACAACTTGCAGGCATTTTCCTGGGTCATGTTTGTTGCCTGGGAGAAGAGGCCAAACCCCTCCTCATCACAGCCTCCCTTCAGGAAGTTGTAGAGCAATGAGGTCTCCCCCAATCCTCCTCCAGACTAAGAATTGCTTGTTCTCCAGACCCCTCACCAGTTTTGTTGCCCTTCTCTGGACACGTTCCAGGGCCTCAATGTCTTTCTTGTAGTGAGAGGCCCAAAACTGAACACAGTAATCGAGGTGCGGCCTCACCAGTGCTGAGTACAGGGGGATGCTCACCTCCCTGCTCCTGCTGGACACGCTATTTCTAATGCAGGCCAGGATGCTGTTGGCCCTCTTGGCCACCTGGGCACACTGTTGGCTCATATTCAGCCGAGCATCAACCAACGCACCCAGGTCCCTTTCCTCTTCATGCTCATCCAGACACTCAGCCCCAAGCCTATAGCGCTGCATGGGGTTACTGTGCCCAAAGTGCAGGACCCAGCACTTGGCCTTGTTGAACCACATCCCATTCACCTCAGCCCAGTGATCCAGCTTATTGTGTGCTATTTGTGAGTCCATAATCATGGTGGTTCATATATGGAATGCAACCAGACTTACAGCATCAAATTGGGTATCAATTAGAATTGAAATTCAGATTCACCCCAGTCTCTGATATCTGAGAACAAGATGGAATACAAAGGGGTTTATTTTCTGCAAAATCATGTTGCCCTTTACCACGACACATGTTGTCAACATCGTTTGAAATGCAGCGTAATTCCTTCTACTCAAAATGTTAACAAACAAAATTGTTGTCTTAAGACAGTATTATCAATCTGATCTTTTCCCTTATGTTTCTCTATCCTCCATGTGTATGGGAAGCAGCATTTAAAAATATCAGACTACTGTAGGTGAAAAATTAGCATAACGGACCAGCAATTCTTAGTGAGCAATCATTTGCATTCCCTTAGAATTATCTTGTAAAAAGGGCACAGTGGAAAAATATTTAGCTATCACTAAATAGTAGTCAAATACATGTTTTGCTGGCATTATCTGTAATCCATGCCTTTGCAAAAAAAATCCCTTAATGGCTTCAATGACTTTTTGCTTGCAAATATTCAGAGATTACATCATGTTGGGCAGAAGTATTAATCTGCTTGAAGGTAGAAAGTTTTTTGCAGAGGAATCTGGATAAAGATCAATGGGCCATATCAACGATATGACATTGAGCAAAGCTAAGTGCTGAGTGCTGCAGTGGGATCACAACAACCCCAGCAGTGGTATAGGCTCAGGAAAGTATAGCTGGAAAACTGCCCAGCAGAAAAGCACCTGGTAATGGTGGTCAAGTGAACTTGAGCCAGCAGTGTGCCCAGGTGGTCAAGGCCAGTGGCATCAGGCCTGAAACAGAATTAGTGTGGCCAGCTGGACTAGGGAAGTGGTTGTCTCTCTGTATTCAGCACTAGGGGAGACTGTACCTTGAGTACTCAGTTTTAGGCCTCATTACTTCTGAATGTGTTTGGAGAAAAACGACAAAATTGGTGAAGGGACTAGAAAACTGAATACATGAGGAGTGACTGAGAGCACTGGAGTTACTTAGTTTGGAGAAAAAGTAGGCTGAGGATAGACCTCATCATTCTCTACAATTACCTGAAAGGAGGTTGCACTAAGGAGGGTGTTGGTCACTTTTCTTAGGTGACCAATATTATTCAGAACTGTAGGTTAGTAGTACTGAGTTCTCAGATATACCTTCTGGATCTATGTCTTTCACAAGCTTTCTCATAGTCTTTCTTCAATACCCACTGCAAGAACTATTCTACCAAAATAAATAGCATTTTCACAGTACTTTAGTCTTAAGTTCCTCTTCTTATACTGGTAAAACCTCCATCTGGTCTACACTTCCTCACATCCAGAAATAGAATTCAGGATAAGTAAGAATCATAAAACTCATGGCTTAACTCATACAGTTGGGAAAATTTAGCTCAAATACACTATATTTATTCCAAAGAGAGACAGAGGAGTCTTTAGCTTTATTTACTTGAATAAACTCTAACTTTATGTCATCCAGGCAGAGAAGTTAATATGAATTAACCTAAGCCTGCACAGCAAGTCTAAAGTTCATAAATTCAGGTTGTTTATCTACCATTTTAATTTCTTCTGGTCTCAACTGGTTCTTCTTTCTGATAGCCTTATTTGGTGAGAGTGCAGTTATTCAAGCAGAGAGGAATTTGCAAGACCTTGCAGTTTGCATGGACACTGGACACCTTGCTCAAAAGCCACTTTTATCACAATATTTTCTTTTTTTGAGAGAGAGTGCATACTGTAGTTGTTGTAATCTCTGATGCATATGCTGAGAGGGGAAGGATGACTGATTTGTGCACTTTTTGTGTTCTTGTTATTTATAAGCCCCATATTTGTCTCAGACAGTTCTTGTGAAATACTAGTCATCTCCAGGTAAAAACACTCTGACTTTAAAATCAAACATTGCCAAACACAGTGATTTGGAGGATGGCTAACTAAGCAGCGTGTATTCCTTCCTCACTGGGCTGATGAACATTTAATAGCTAGTAGTTATTTTATCTAATCTCTGTCATTGTCTCTGACATTGTCTCCTCTGTCTCTGTCATCTATCATAATGTTGAAGACTGCAGGTTAACCTTTAAGTCTTATTTTTTTAGAACAAATTTGAGCTTCTTGCTGATGGCTTTAATTCACTGATGCATGTTAATGGAAAATTGATTTTTTTTCCCTAAAAATTGCATTTACATTAAAAAAAAAAAATAACAGAAAGAAAATTATATTTTAAGGAAAGATTTGATAACAAAATGAAAATGATGTCTTTGATGTACACCCTGAGTTTCATGATTTGAAATTACTTTCATTAAGAAAAGGCACATAATAATGCTATGATTTTATTGCAAAAAACTTTTTGCTATATTGCAAGGAAGTAGATTATTACTAGACAGTATTTTTTCTCTGTTCTTAATTTTCAAAACTAGTAGGGCTGAAAAACTTGTCTTTAATTTGTGCTCTAGAAAAAAATACAATAAAACAAACAAGCAACAAACAAACAAGCAAACTAATCTGCAATATCCACCTCTTTTCTCACTGGACTAAGATCTAATAAAAATCTTGCAATGCCTAGAGTAATAGCAGGATGCTGTTCTGCTGAAAGAGTATTGTTAGTAAGTCGATACCAAATACTAGTAAGAATATCATTAACTTAAGAGTGATGACAATTTATGTTTAATTTGAATAGCAAATTCAAATTAATCCAATTCTGTTTTTATTCTAAATTCTGTTAGACAAGATTGGAACAAGGCTACAGTGACTGCAGCAGTAGCAGGAAGCCTAGGCAAAGACACTTCTGCCTGGAGCTCTTCCATACTAATAAGATGGTTTCCTTGTTCTTTTTCTCCTTGCCCCTACTTTTGCTTTAAGCTACATCTAAAAGCTGTGGACCATCAAGTGGATATTTAGGGCCTGAAAATGTCAACTCAGTTCACTTTCTTATCTTTACAGTAAAGCTGTGAAGAGCCAGCCAACTTTCCTTCTAATCTTGGCCTGCAGACACTCCAAGGCTCACTGAACTCTCCTCTCTTTCTTCCTCTTCTCAGATACAGATGTTCTTATAATAAAGGAATGATATAATGTTTGGAGATGTGTGTGGGGTGAGGAGAGTGAAGCAACTGCAAAGAGAGAGTGAATAGAAGCTGCATAACTTTCAGAAGGATGTAACAAATGTGAAACTGGGATAGCAAAACTGGGAATTTGGATAAAATACAAAAACAGCCAAACTTAGTATTGGCAAAGATGTGCCTTTGAGAAACGTAACAGCAAGGATTTGTCCTACGTCATAGTTAGTCAAATTCCCTTGTCTGTAGCATTGGATTAGTCCTGCAGAATTTGTGGAACTACAGCTTACGTGCATATAAATGCACAGACATGTATATGTATGTGCTTATCCACACACATTCAAAGACACTTCCACTCACACATTTTTGTATCTATTAAGCCTGTGTAGTTGACAAGACAATAGCTGTATTTGCCAGCACTTTATGTACTAAATGTTGCATAAGACCTCACTGTTCAAAAGAAATGGGCCAGCTGATGATGATCAGTAGACTATTTGCATGACTGCCTATTTACATGATAGGACAAAAGGCTTCTCTTTCAGCATTACTGGTATGAGCCAAATACCACCTCAGTTTTCCAGTTGTTCTGGGATTTTATCTTTTTTTCAGAGTTGGTCCAATTCATTCTTGTTTTGTTTTTATCTAGTTTTCAAATAAGACAAATACATATCTATTTTTTCCCTTTTGGGAAAAATCTGAATGAAAATACATTTATGGTTTGGAAAAAGAGACCAACACAGTAAACATTCAACAATATGATTGTTGGAAAGGAGTCAGTGAAATGACTTCTGAGTAAAATAAAGTTTTTTGTTTTTTTTTTACCTTGTAAAACTAGGGTCTTGGGGAATATTATCAGATGAAAACAGTAAATTTTGCAGGAAGTTGGTTGATTATTACCAATATGTTCTTGTTGAAGACCTGTCCCTATCACTTTCTGGGGAGTATTTAGTTGAGATGCTCCCATCCTGGTTGTGGGTATCTGGGTTAATGTCTCACGTCATTACTTTTTTAAAAGTAGAGATTTTTCTCTCCTGCTTATTATTTCCCATCCTGGCCTGTGCAGGAGGTGCTTGTGCTGGCAGCTTCCTGTAGATGGGGCTGAGGTTGCACACAGGCTGGGACCCGGATGGCAGCATGGTACAGATGAGATGCAGACATGAAGCTTGTGCTGAACTGCAAGTAACCAGCTCCTTTAGCAACTGAGATAGACATATACCAAATAACCATAGTTTTAAAATATTCTGTTTTATTAAATGTTTAAAGTAACATAAATATCATATTAACAATTTTATGGCTGAAGTTTTCAGAATTTGTGAATTTACCCTTTTATCTGATCTGTGAGCTCAGAAGCTTACACCTTTACCTTAGAAATTTGTAAGCATGATTTATAAGATTTATAGTTGTCTCATAGCTAACAAAAGAATAGAAATAGCAGATAAAACCATATAAACTTTGGATAGCGGGAAAATATTTGTTTTACTAAGTAAAACTGGAGTCTGCCAAGATTATTTAAGAACAAGAAACCTTTTATAAGCAGCTTCATGTTAATCTGAACAAAATCATTCAGTTCACAGTTCGATTTTTAGGAATAGAGAAAAATAGGATAGTACTTAATTATTCCCCAATTTTTTTAAAATTGTCTCAAGTAAGTCTGTAATTTCTTCATACCAATATTTAGCACCATATAGTGAAATATTCTTCCTTTTAATTTATGGTGAATATACAGTATATTACTTACTCAGTATTAGAATAAAGGATCTAATTGTAATAAAAGTTTAAAAATTCACCTTTGTTTTCTGCAGTAGAATGTTAGTGCTGGAAGAGCAGCACCATGCTTTCAACCAAGAAGCTGTAGCATATTTACAAATAAAAGAATGCTCCCCCCCGCCCCCCACCTTCTCCCAATTGCTCATACAATGTAATTATTTGATTATTTAATAGCACTACAGGTTAGATCTTCTTTACATTTGAAACGGATAGGTTTTCTTGTTTAATCTTAAACTGATTTAGAATAGAGCATATCAAAGAAGGGAGGCCTGTCATTTCAGTATAAACACCTCTATATTACCCTCTCTGTGTGTTGCATGAGAAGACTTGTGTGGAAAGATGTAAACATGCACACACAGCTATAGTGATGTTTTCTTGTAAAATGTAAAATAACAAATCCATTGAGGAGGTGGGCAATGTGCCAACATTAAGTTGAATGCCAGTTGTCTGTTACCCATTTCTACTACAAAGAAATAATGTAGTTTTCTTAATAAAGTTATTGGGGTAAAGAAGGATAGAGGAGAGAAATTTTATTTTTCATAGCAGACATGCTGGAGATAAACAGCCTTGGTTGTCAGTCAAATTGCAGTTTCAATTCTGATTCAGTTAGGGATTTTTTGTTGTTGTTACAGCAATTCAATAAAAAGCAGAGATACTTCTTAATTGCAAGTTTGTACTCATTGTTCTTTGACAATGAAATGACATTTTCATACAGTTACAGCCTACAGAAAAGTGTTTACAGAACATGAGTACACTGGGCTCAGCAGTGATACATGCTGTTTCTGTAGCAGCACTGAAGGCTTTCAGCACTGTGAGTGAGTAGCTACATCGCAGGTTCATAGAGTACAAACAGTCATAGATGATTCATCTCATTATATAGTCTTATGGCAGACTTTTTCTTTTCTGGCTACGCAGGATGGTGGCTAATACTGTTCTCTATGCTGCCTGTTGGTTTCTGGGGAAAGAACTGAACAGGTTGTTAGGGAGCCTTTTAATTTATCCATCTTATGAGAAGAAGCCAAACTGATCACAAAATGCTGATGGAGCTCCTCCCCTGCCCATTGGGAGGCAGAGTCCTCTAGGTTTGGCAGCTCATGCTTCTCTGATTTCTTGCATCTCCCTTTCCTCACTGAGCAGGGTGTGCCATATCTAGCAATTCTGCTATGAGCACTGGCTGTAGAAATGCCCCTTGTAGCTTCTCCCTATATCACTGACCATGCTACCTTGATAGAGGGAAAAAAAATTAAAAGCCTGAGTGAGTCCATTTTCAGTCATACAGGTAGTAAAGCCTCTAGCCTTCAGCCATGAGTAGTATTCATTTCTGATCTGTTCACATTAATTGGTGCACAAATCAGAGGTCATCGCAGGACCTCTGATTTAACTAAACAAAAGCCCTAGCTTGCTTTTCTTTTGCGAACAGATGGTGAGTATACATGAGAGAGAGACATGGAATAAGAAAAGAAAAAAGTCGTCAATCAGCATTTTATATATTCTCTGCAAGACTTGAATTTCTTCAGAGTACATATAAGTACACAGAGAAGTACAAGTAAAACATGTCACAGGTAAGTCACTACTTGAGAACAAATTCTTTTGCTAGGTGCAGCTTTTCATGATTACTGTCAGAAATGGCAGACAAATACCACTGCCATGTGTGAGTTTCTCCACTGGGATTTCTCTATCATTTTTCTATGTTGTGGTTCAGATGATCACCTGAAAATGTCACAAGCCACAGGAAAAAAGATTCAAGTTTCACATGAGTTTATGTCTGTGTTAAAATAAGCTAACAGCTTGATCTCCCTCATAGGCAAGGCCAGAGCACTGGAACCAGCTTCTGGCAACATTGCATAGGCTATGGAAGGTCTCTAGAATAGCATACACCATCTGCAATTGCAATATTTCTGTAACATTCCAGCTGTTTTTCAAGGATGAGCAGCAGCTTTGCAGTAATGATATCTTCAGCAAAATGCTGAAGATTTAAAATGTGATACCACCAATGTTCTGAGTGAAGCCTGAAGTGTTCTTTTACATGTGGAGAAATCTGGTCCAAATGTATTCATAATGAGCAGTTACATATTAGACTTGTTGGAACAATACAGCCTATGCAAATAACTATGAATACCTACAGGCATATCTGAAGGATGCATGGCATGACTAGCATTGGTGACGGGAAGGCAGGAAACTGTACTCATAGCCCAACAATAGCATGTCTGGTCTACATCAGCCATCTGCTGTAGGTGTAGCACATCTGCAGTATTTGACTTTTCTGTGAGACTCAGTATTTTTCTTACAATGAGTGCGGCTTAAGATCTACGATCCCCTTAGCTGCTGCTTCTCTTGATATGTAAGTCAGGCACTTAAAAAGACTTCTTGGAGATGAGCTAGAATTCTTACTTTTTAAAAAAAAATGAAGTTTGTTTCAAAACAGTCTGCAGTTTTGTTTTGTTCTGTTTTAAGCCTTTAGTGTAATTAGACTGGAAGCTGGTTGATGATCTGATTATTCACTTGAAGGAATGCAGTCTTTCTAGAGGTATCTCTGTAGTGACCTGCCTCGCTCTACTAAGGTAACCATAGTCCCAGTTAGTTAAGTACAATGCAGCTGACCTTCACCATATAAGCTGTTACAGAAGGAGCATACATAAGGTATCTGGACCCCAGCTTGTAAACCTGGTCTTCTAGGCAGTGGCATCTTACATAAGCACAATGCACAAAATGCACTGCCAACTTTCTAGCATTGAAAAACAGATAGCTAACAGTTTCATTTTGAAAGTACGTTTTCAAGTCAAGAGCTTAAAAAAATGGTATCTTTGTTAGCTGTGTGCTTAACCTAATTGAACACAGGTCAGAAGGAATGTAATAGGGGGATTTTTTTCCCATTTGCTAGGGAATGCTGGAGTCCTGCCATTTTGGATACCAGGTTTCCGGCTAGGGCATGCTGCAGGCATCATTTGGCAGTTGCTTAAAACTAGACCCATGGGGCATACAAGCATATCTTATCTTGTAATTCCTTGCAACTTTACAGAGACTTCTGAATCAGCTTGGATGCTCAAATAAAAATACACTGTCATCATAACTTGTTCTTGCCTTTGCTACCAAAGCCTTTTGAAGAACGACAGTTTTGTAAATACTATTCTCAGCTCTCAGAAGAGCCACTATGTCATTTTATGAGATGTAGCATTAAGACAGCTAATGTGACACAAGTGTAGGCAAACTGGATGCTGCAGTTGTTTCAAAAACTAACTGTTTTGAAGTCTCATAATCTTATCATACTTATTCAGTGTAATCTGAATAAAATATATTCCAATACTACTTTTGATTTTGAAAATCTGATGGCATGAGTAAATTTGTTGCACTGAAACTGTCATTGCACCAGCTACTTTGAAGAAAGCTCTTTCTCCAATCTTTCCCATAGGAATTCATACTTCACTAGGTGAAACAAATATCTCCAATAGCCATGAGCTTTAATAAGATCCTTGAATTCCTTTCTAAACTGCAAAGTAGAACAATTACTTTCAGAGCACATGATGATTTTTACACAAAGTCAACCTTTGAAACCTTTCTTAACCTCAACAGAAATAAGTTTCAGACAAGTGGTAGCAGAATTGTCCTGATTGATAAGATTCCCGCCATACATGTCTGTACGTATTTTTCACCAGCTGAAGTGATCAACTGTGAAGTGATTTAGCTGTAGTGAGATTCTGAAGGACAGTATCAGCTTGTTTTTGAGCTACAGGGAGGCAAATGGAATGGAGAAAAGGACCTACTTCTCAAAAATAATAACGAGTTTCAGAATTTTTCTTCAATCTTTTAGGTATTCTTCTCTTTATCCTCAGAGTAAATAGAGCATTTTTCAAGCTGAAGAAATGTGCCAAGCAAAAGTGATAAATGCAAGAACAAAGCTGTTTAATGGAAGATAACTGCATCCTTAACCAGTGAGAGAAAAAACGCCTCTCCATAACAAAGCAGCATGTGAGTGAGTACAGTTAGCATAGGTACATAAATTCTCTTTGTGTCTTCAGTTATGGCTTGAAAGTATCAGTCCTCAGTAGGATTATAAGACAAGATCTGAAAACTGTTCAGTGTGTTCACTGGCCTAGTGTAACTCATGGTTTTCCCCTCTAGGTTTTGAAAAATGGAAAATGGAAAATTTTTGAATGAGAATAAAGGAATAAATAGCCTCTTAGGAAGACCTCTTAAAGGTTAATTTCCTTGACTGAGTATTCTCTGATGGCATTATTTTCTTCCAAGGTTCTGTACTTTAAATGTGCCCCTTTTATGGAGGAGGATGGGATTAAAATAGTCTAAAATAGGTAGTACATGGGAAGACTGCAACTTTGGTTAATCTTTACTCTTGCACAATGAACTTTCAATAAAAGATTCCATCTTCATCTCTTCCTAAAGCTTTATGGTTTTAAGAATCAGTCTGGTCCTATGGAATAAATACCACCATGTATTACAGCACTGGTTAAAACTAAAAAGGTGAACACATATCAGTGCACAATAAATGCAGGTTGCAGTTGGAGGGAGTGGATTTTTCTGCTACTTTCAGATTTCGATGCCCATAGTTGCTGGTTAGAGGGGATTGGAGGTCCTTCTGGAAGAGGCTGGTTGTTGATGGACAGCTTCAGTGCCTGAGGGTGCTGGATGCCCTGAAGTAGGAAAGGAACTTGTAGCAGAGGCTCACCACAAAGTACCAGATGTTTCGAGCCATCTGTGACCTTGCGATGAAAATGCGCCAGATGATCACGAGGAGGGTGGTGTTAAATGCATACCGGATATTCCTCAGTCTGAGAAAAGACAGAGGCATGTTATGGAGGAAAACAGAAAGAAAAGCTTACCAGCTTAGTTAATTTGCTACCGATAATTTTCTAAGAAATCTTGTTTACAAGTGGCCTTTGGGCTTTTTGCCCCTCCTATATTAGTGAAAATACTAGGCCTAGATGTCCCTACCATCCCACAATCTGTGTTGAAGTATGCAGTGTAGTGAATAGTTAATACAGTAGGTGGAATATCTGTATTCTAAGTCTCTCTTGTTTCACGTACTCTACTTTTAAACCAAAATAGGCTGAATTCATACTGAGAATTGGTTGCTTTTTTTTTTAAATGATACTGTAGGGCATGTCAATGCCTTCTTGATTTGGTATATTAGTTATTTTTGACTACGTAGGATTGGTGATAAGCTGGAGGAGTTCTACAGGAGCTGATGAATACAGTTCTCCTATCTGAATGAAACTATGTTTTTCATGTTAGGAAATTACTCAGTAATCATAAAAGATCTTAACTTTTGCAGTACTTTAGCAGCTCGAGTGCTACATTCGCCCCTGGGACCACCAGCAACACAGATCTGTTGGACTGGGTACAAAAGAGGGTCATGAGGACGATCAGAGGGCTGGAACAACACCACTGTAAGAAGAGGCTAAGAGAGCTGGGGTTGTTCAGTATGGAGAAAAGGCTAACTGTGGTCTTCCCGTACCTAAAGGTGGCCTACAGGACAGATGGGGACAGACTTTTCATCACAGCATGTAGAGATATAACAAGGGAGAGTGACTTTAAACTAAAAGAAGAGAGAATTAGATCAGCTCTTAGAAAGGAATTTTTTCTCAGAGAGTGGTGAGGCACTAGAACAGGCTGACCAGAGAAACTGCGGATGCCCCATCCCTGGAACTGTTCTGTGTCATGTTAGGTGGGACCCTAGGCAACCTAGTCTAGTGGGAAGTGTCCCTGCCCATGGCAGGGGCATTGGAACTAGATAATCTTTGAGGTCTCTTCCAACCCAAACAATTCTATGATTCTAACACCCTTTACTTTAGCAACAAGCTGTTTTTCACTTCTCATAGTGCACAAGAATGGTTTTCTTAAATCAAGCTCCAAGAGAGCTTTTTGCTTGCACATCTTTGAGTAAAAGGGCTTGAGACGATGGGAAAAGCTTTGACTGAAAAGGAGAGGGACAATCTCCTATTGTTCTTTTAGGAGCTCTTAAAACTTCCAGGACTTGAAAATATAAGCTTTGCTCCAATTTTGGAGAAATTTTCTCATTCCGCATCACGCCCTCCTCCCAAAAATTTAGAATCTTCAACTTTAAATTAAATTCAAAATAACATAAACAAAGTTTTTATGCAATCCCTTTCAAATGCTAGGAACTTCAAGGAGCTTCACAATATCTAAATCTACCCTTGTTTTTCTATTTTAATTCTGAATTACCAGTATTTTCTGTATTCATTGATTATTCTTATTCATTGCAACTTGTTTATTTGGTCATCTGCTGGGAAGGCATACTGTTTAGTCCTTGCCTGTTAGTGCCATCACAAATTAGCCTCTCTTAAGTGCTGGGGAAGATCATGGAGCAGATCCTCCTGGAAGCTATGCTAAGGCATGTAAAAGAAAGGGAGGTGATATGGGATAAAATGCATGGCTTCACTAAGGACAGGTCCTGCCTGACCAACTTTTTATGATGGTGTAACTGCATCAGTAGACAAGGAAAGACCATTCATGCCATCTGTCTAGGCTTCGGTAAGGCCTCTGACACAGTCCTCCATAATATCCTTCTCTCCACATTGGAAAGGCATGGATTTGATTGGTGGATTGCCTGATGGAAGAGGAACCAGTTGTGAGATCATACTTAGAAAGTATGATCAGTGGCTCAGTGTCTGGGTGGAAGTAGATGGCAAGTGGTTTGTCTCAGGGGTTAGTACTCGGACCACTTCTTCATCAATTACATTGACAGTAGGATTGAGTGCACCTTCAGCAGGTTTTCAGATGACACCAAACCTTGTGGGGAGGTTGACATGCCCATGGGACGGGATGCCATTTAGAAACACCTAGACAGGATTGTACAGTGGGCCTTGGTGAACATCATGACATTCAATAAATTCAAGTGGAAGGTCTTACACCTGGGTTGTGGCAAGCCCTGCTATCAGTACAGGCTAGGGGATGTAAGGATGGAGCACAGCCCTGCTGAAAAGAACTTGGGCATACTGGTGGATGGCAAGCTGGACATAAGCCAGCAATATGCCCTTGCAGCTCGGAAAACTGACCATATCCTGGGCTGCATTAAAAAAGCATGGTCAGAAGATCAAGGGAGGTGGTTCTGCCCCTTTACTCTGCACTGGAGCACAGTGTCCAGATGTGGAGTCCTCAACACAGGAGTTACATGGACCTGTAGGAGCTCATCCAGAGTAGGGCCACAAAAATGATCCAAGGGATGGAACACCTTCTCTATGAAGACAGGCTGAGAGAGCTGGGGCTGTTCAGCCTGGAGAAGAGAAAGCTCCAGGGGACTTTCATCACAGCATGTAGACTAATAGTGGACTTTCAATATCTAATGATGGAGTACAAGAAGGAAGGGACTCTGGACTCTTTACTAGAATCTGTTATGATAGGGCAAGGGGAAACAGTTTCAAACTAAAAGAGGGGAGATTTGGATTGGACTTGAAGAATTTTTTTTACAATAAGGGTGATGAGGCACTGGAATGACTTGTCCAGAAAAGTGATGGAAGCCCTGTCCTTGGAGACATTCAAAGTTAGGCTGGACGGGGCTCAGAGCAAGCTGATCTAGCTGTAGATGTCTCTGTTTATTGCAAAAGAGTTGGACCTGATGATCTTTAAAGGTCCATTCCACCTGAAAAAATTATGTGATTCTGTGATTCTAAGTCCTTTTTTTTTTTTTACAGGAATAAAAACCAAAGCATTGACAATGTTCTGCCATAAAAATAAATAAGCTACGCTACATTTATCTCCATCTTATTCAACAGTAACACACTGCAAGGTAAAATGAATGATTTTCCTCACAATTCATTTCAGATAGCCAGGAGCTCTGGTCCTTGTCATTGGATATTACTTACTTTCGTAAGTGCTGCTTTGCTGCGGGGATGCCAGACATGTCCTCATTTAGCAAATACTTCTTAGCACCTAGGCAATAGCTTTCAATATATTCTGACCAATGCAGCTGACGAACATCAAAGTTGTATAACTGGGATATAAAGACAAACAGCAGAAGTTAAATGCAAGTATTCAAAACAAGTTCACTTCAAGCACTGACATGATCCAGACCAGGTCATCTCTATTAAGTTTTTAAAGCCACTATGTTTCAAAGAAGACATGGACACTTAAAAACTATACTTCGTAGCTGTCAATTAATGTTTTACCCAGACAGAAATTTCAGAAAAGCAAGTAAAAATTCAGTGCTAACTGGCAGAAAACAACGAAATCTTTTTCTTTCAGGTAGACACTTTACATAAATACATGTGAACGTGCACCAATCTCCGCACAGAATCATGCAAGAAAAATGGCAGTCCACTCAAACAGATCTGAAAGCCTCCCTGCAGTTTTTTGGTTTTTTTTTTTTCTTTTTTTTTTTTTTGGTGTCACTGGAGTTAATTGTGAATAAATGAACAGGACATTGAATCAATAGGTGCCTCTGCATCAGTTGCAGCTCTGTGTTGTGCTGCATTTACTCTCGTCAGCTAGACTGACAGAAATCCATGGAATGGTTTACTACATTGTTTGGCATCAATAAATCTCATTGCAGAGCTATTTAGTTAATTTCAGCGCTGATACTGGAAAAATTGTTGGCAAGCTTTCAGGTTGTTGTCTGTCTATTAGGACAAAGAAATTATTTGTAAAGAGAAAGCGGTTTTGTTGGAGAGACATTTTTTTTTTTTAATGGAGAAGTATTTCTTACATACAAAGCCCTAAAAGGGAAGATACAAAAAAACCAATCCTTTCTTTCACCTTCAAGGCAATCTGAGCCTGTTGGTTTGGTAAAGGAACTTTGATATTAGAACAGCAACAACTTGAGTGAACTGTGTATAATGCAGGTTATGCAGATCCCTGTGTGTCTGTCAGATATGTATAGGGAACTATAGTCTCCATAAAATACCTAACTTGAATACATTGCATGCAATATGGCAGTGGCAACACAGAATGTGGAGAATAATCCATAATCTCATAAGCAACTTGGGAAGTCTGAAACACTGTCTAACTTGCACTGAAGTCCTTGCTGCTGTGCCTTTTTGTTTATCTGCATCAATGCAAGCTTCTGAATTACCAGTTAGGCTCCCTCTACATCTGCTATAGTCACAGCAGTAACACTGCCCTTAGCCATTTGAATTTTCTGCATGCACTATCTGTACAGAGTAGGGAAGAAACCTTTTGGCTCTTTTCTTGGGAATCTATGTGAGAATCTCATGTGTGACTGGTTTGATGTGAATGTCTAAATAGCTCTTTGAAAGGAGATACTGAACAAAAGTGCATTCAGGCTTATCTAATCTCTGTATTCCTTCAGTCTTTCAGTTATAACCCCATTCTAAAGGAGTAGTATTTCAAACCTATAAAGACTACAGTAGAGCTTGACATCCTGGAAAGTAATTGCTGTCTGGGGACTTAAATCAAACAGGAACATTTTTCATATTGTTCATGCTAACTCACCATGTGTTAACTAAATTTACTCATGCAGTGCCATTAAGACCAATGTGGATAAAAATGCCAAAATCTTTCAAGTAGTTTCCTTCCAGGCCTCCTACCAAATTCTGTACTGCCAGAAGAGATGAGGGAGAAAATGATATCATAAAGGAGCTTCCTAGTTTTCCAAAAATGAGACACTAAGAATAGGATGAGAAACTACTCAGAATGTTACAGTTATCCAATGAAAATTGTATTAAATTAACCACATATATTCGTATTACCACTGATGCTGTCTTTTTGGGGTCCCTGTATAGCACAGTGGTTTATATAGACACATCCCCCATGAAAGGGGACGCCTGAAATTTTTAGGGCCCAGAGTTGTTATATGAAAACTAGAATTGACCATTTCTTCTTAGAAAGGGAAATATGTTTCTATACAAAAAGGAATATCTTTCCAACTCCGCTAGCTATTCCAGTGTATGCAGCCAACTCAAGAGGGCTGAGTACAGCTGGGTCATTGGGGATATAAACTTATGTCCCCTTTGTGCAGGCTATTTTGTCTGTGGAAACAAATCTAGCTTATTTCTATGCCAAACAGAATAGATGGTAAAGAGTTGCTATGTTAGCTGAAATGAACAGTGATTGATTTCTCTCAGAAGAAAGATCAATACATCTCAGGAGAAAACATTCTCCTACATGGAAGTTTCTAATACCTTCCTAAATGGAAGGTTCCTGATAAGTTCTTGAATAAAACAAGAAGAAATACTTTTTTTTTCAGGTTCAAGTCAGTTACAGTAATCTAGGCAGATTCATTTGAGGGCTCAACAATATAAAAAAATAATTGCTGCAGATGAACAGAAGTGGAGTTCAGCAGTCCTCACACATGACATACTCACCTTTTTGTCCTCTGTGTTAAGCTGACCCATTAACATATTCATATTATCTGAAGACCAATCCCAGGACTGGGTGGAGAAATACTGCAGGAGCATCATAGACTTGTGTAGTCGATTGATAATCTTCATCATTCTGAAAGAGAGGAGGAAGATCAGAGATGGAGAGAAAGTATGTCTTAATGCAAAAAACAGTACTTTTAGTCTAGGTGTTTCTGCCAGTCCAAGCAAATAAGACTTGCAGTGCTCGATGAGCCTTCCACTGGTATACACAAGGCTGAACACCAACTCAGCAAGATTCTAAAAACTGCTCCAGGGGAGGTCCTGAACCTATCTTTAATGTGAATGCAAACACACATTCTTCAGGACAAGACTGATTAATTTACAGATTTGAACGAAAGTCTGTATCTACTCTACATGGAATGCATATCCATGAACCACTACCAAGTCAGCACAGTAGACTTTGGAACCACAAAAGTATCTTTGTCTCATAAGATGGATACTTCTCTCTTTCTATCACAGAAGAGCTCTTCTGTTCTCATGTCTGACTTGGCCTGAAGTGAAGGCTCTGATTTTGAATTTAGCTTATACTGAGTCAGCTCTAATTCAAAGGTGACTGCTTTTGCAGCATGGACAAGTTATGAAGCCTATTACTAAAGTTCAGCATTCAGATAATGGCAACTTTTTTTTTATCTTGGGTTTTCTTCCATCTCTCTGTTTTTCATAAAGGCCACAATTCTCCCTGTGTAATAAAGTGGCAATGTGGAGTGATTTTTATGTCCTTCCTTACGCAGGAAGTTCTAATAGCAGCAAACTCCTGGTGGATAAAAATTTTCATAGGCATTTTTGTGGTGAGGGAGAATGGGAGCACACAGATGAACTGTCTCAATGTCTTCGGGAGTCTGAGTGTCCTGGTAATGATGAAAGCCAGTTCAGGGCTGTTAGACAGGAACTTTGGAAATGAAAGTTCAGGCCTCTCATGTTTCTTGGCTTTTTTTTCTTTTTTTCTTTTTTTCATTTTTTAAATAATAAAAGGGAATGACTGTAATGGTGTCCTACCTCACAAGATTATTTGACAAGTGTCTCAGTGGTCATGAGTACAAAAGGCCTATAGGGGGCAGTTGCTTTAAAGTGCTGTGATGTTCAGTGCTTGATCTGTTTGGAGAGAACACCATGTTCTCTCAAACTGGGTAAGGGCAAGAGAAAGCATCAAAAGGCTGATTTCTGTGGAAAACAGAGCTGTTTTCATGAGGAATTTTGAGCTGCCCGGAGGGCAACAAAGTCACTGTGACAAATAAAAAGTGGCAGTCTGTGGAAGAATGGTGCCAGGCTGGCCTCTCCTCCTGCAGATGTGACTGCCACTTAGATAAGCATTAAGCACAGCAAAAAAGACGTGATTCTCCTCAATTCAGAGGAAAGCTGTGCAGCTTACTAAGCGTATTTAAAGCACACATAGAGACTCCTACTCAGAATTAAAGTGGCTTTCATTTTAGAGCAAAACATCAAATTAAGACAACTTTCATTCTGAATAATTACATGCACATGGATTAAATGCAGTTTATTTAAACTACTTCAAAAGTGCTTCAAATTAATCTCTCTGCCTGTGTGAGCAACAACTGTGGGACAAAACTTTGAATATTTTAATGCCTTAAAGGAACTCAGGAAACAAAGTATATGATTAGATTGCAAAAATCAGGAATTGACCCTTAAACTGTCTCTCAAAAAGCCATCAGTATCTTTAAAGTGCTTAGGGTTAATGAAATCTGTCAGAAAACAAGCAAAACAAAAAATCCACACAAAAGAAACCCAAACCAACAAAACAGACAAAAACAAACAAACAAACAAACAAACAAAAAAAAAACACAAAGAGAATCAACAGTGTGTCTCTACTTTTGTTTTGAAAATAGGCTGGTACACCGGAAAAGAAATACCCTATTCATATGGCCTTCTGTCAATATGAGCCCTACCTATAGAACTACTCAGTGCAACTTATCTAAGCAGCTGAAAGTGTGCATCAAAGAGAGAAATGAAGATATCTTAACAGGCACATATAAAACCTGTGGTATATGCTAACTGGTTCATCTCAAATGTACTTACTAGTATTTACTAGTTTGGATTAAGCATTAGTGTAATGAAAAATATCAATTAAGCAGAAACACGAATTTCTGCAGGTTCTGAGCAGCTATAACAAAGACTCTTTTTAGAATATCTCCTTCTCCATTGTGGACGAAGTGAGAGGGAAAAAGAAAACAGTAGCACCTGTTACTGACAGCCTTATTAGTTACACTTAAAAAATGCACCTTGTCTTCTAGAAGGATGTTTAGAACAATGATTTCTTTATTTACTCCTGTACTGAGCCATGCATGAGCAGAGAGTCTTGGGTGCAACAGACTGCCCCAAGAGACTAATAATGTAAGTGACAAATAAATTAAGCTTAGGTGCTTGTTTGAATGAGCTGTTGCCATGCACTCTATCACACTGTTGTAGTATGTGGATGAGCTTAAGTAGCGCTGTAGAAAAAAAAAGGAGGATTGTTATTTAAAAAAAAAAAAGAAAAAGAAATAGAAAAAAAGACTTGGTGACTTCACAGATTCATTGCTTAGTCATGTTTGCTCAGGTCACAAATCTGAAAGTTCAGATCCTTCTCAGCATGCTGAAATCTAGTTGAAATTCAAAGAAGGTATTATGGCCAATGTCCACTGACTACCAACAACAATCAGATTTACGAAAAATGTCAATTATAAAATCAGTGCCAAGACTTCACTGCTGCCTGTTTCAGCAGAGTACGGAGACTCCAGCCTATTCCAGCTCAATTTTATTTCATTTCTAGGGCAATTCTTGCCTACTGGATAACTGGAGGATTTTTTTTAATTGACATGTTTCCCTCTGTAGCAGACCATCAGAAAAGAATCAGGGCAGTGCATCAGCCAGGGATTTCCCTGCAAACAGGTGAACCCAGTCTTCTAATAAGAGATGTATTCTCCTGGCTTGGGAAACTCTGAAATGTGTAAATCATAGAATCACAGAACCATAGGGGTTGGAAGATCACCTAGTCTAACTCCCATGCTAAAGCAGGTTCCCTAGAGTGGGTTGCACAGGAAAGCATCCAGGTGGGTTATGAATATCTCCAGATAAGGAGAGTCCACAACCTCTCTGGGCAACTTGTTTCAGTACTCTATCACTGTGAAGAGGTTCTTTCTCATGTTCAGATGTAGCTTCCTGTGTTTCAGTTTGTACTCATTGCCCCTTGTCCTGTTGCTGGGCACCAATGAAAGGAGCCTGGCCCCACTGTTTTGACAACACTTTTAGATATAAATATCTAAAGTCTAAGTATTAAGTATAAATATTTAAATATCTAAGTATTGGTGAGATCTCCTCTCACTCTTCTCCAGGCTGAACAGTCCCAGGTTTCTCAGTCCTTCCTCCTAAGAGGGATGTTCCGTAATCATATTTGTAGCTCTCCACTGGACAAGTTCCCCTGTCCTTCTTGAACTGGGGAGTCCAGTACTGGTCACAATACTCCAGATGTAGCCTCAGCAGGGCAGATTAGAGTGGAAGAGAACCTCCATTGACCTGTTGGCCATTTTCAGTGCTCTTTTCAATGCACTCCAGGATATTATTGGCCTTCTTGGTCACAAGGGCACAGTGCTGGCTCATGGCCAACCTGTTGTCCACCAGGGCACCCAGGTCATTCTCTGCAGATCTCCTTTCCAGCAGGTGAACCCATAACCTGTACCGATGCATGCAGTTATTCCTCCCCTAGTGTAGGACACTGCATTTGCCCTTGTTGAACCTCATAAGGTTTCCTCTCTGCCCAACTCTCCAGCCTGTCCAGATCTCGCTGAATGGATAGCACAGCCTTCTGGTGTGTCAGCCACTCTTCTCAGCTTTGTATCGTCAGCAAACTTGTTGGGGGTGCACTCTATCCTTTCATCAGGATCACAGATGAAGATGCTGAAGAACACTAGAACCTGTACTGACCCCTGGGGAACACTGCTAATTGCAGGCTTCCTACTAGACTCTGCGCTGCTGATCACAAACCTTTGGGTTGTCAGTCAGTTAGTTCTCAATCTACCTCACTGTCTACTCATCTACCCCACAATTCCTAAACTTACTTAAGAGAATGTTATGAGAGACAGTGCCAAAAGCCTTGCTGAAGGTACACCGCATCCACTTTTCTCCTCTCGTCTATGAAGCCAGTGATATACATAGAAAGCTACCAGATTGGTCAAGCATGGTGAATCCATGTGGATTATTCCTGATTACTTTTTTCCACTTTCTTTGAGATGACATCCAGAATAAGTTGTTCTATCACGTTCCCAGGGACAGTGGTGAGATGGACTGGCCTGTAGATTCATGGGTACTCTGTCTTCCCTTTTTCAAGACTGCAGTAACAATGACTTTCTTCCAGTATTCAGACATTTCCTCCATTCTCCAAGATTTTTCAAAGATAAGAGTAGTTCAGCAGTCACTTCTGTCAGTTTCCCCAGAACTTGTGGGTGCATCCCACTGGAGCCCAGGGATTTGTGTGTGTCAAGTATGTAGAGATGATCTCCAGACAGATTCTTCTCAACCAATGGGATTTTATTTTTTTTTTTGTCTAGACTCCCTCATTCTCTAGACCAGGGTCTGAGATTTCTGAGGGACAATCTTAGCAGTAAAGACTGAAGCAAAGATGATCAGCATCTCCATCTTCTCAGAATCACCTGTTACTAGGACATCCCCCTCATTAAGCAGTGGACTCACATCTTCCCTAGTATTTCTGTTGCTATTCACGTACACAAAGAAGTCCTTCTTGTTGCCCTTGATCACTCTCGCCAGTTTTAATCCCAAGTGGGCTTTAGCCTTCTTTGTTGCATCCTTGCAGACCCAGACAATGATCCCATATTCTTTACAAATTCTTCCATGTTCTCTAAGCTTTCTTACATTTGAGGTTTTCCATGAGCTCTTTGCTCATCCGTGCAGGTCTCCTGCCACATTCACTTGATTTCTCAGGGATGCAAAATCTTGAGCTTGAAGGAAGCAGTGATTCAATGTTAACCAACTCTCTTGGGCACCCTTACCTTCTATTGTTCTAACTCACGGGATACCTCCAGTTATCTTCAAGTTGGCTCTTCTGAAGTCCAACATTGCAATTCTACTTACTGCTTTGTGTCTTTCATGCAACATCTTGAACTCCACAGTCTCATAGCTGCTGCAGCCAAGGCTTTCCACAAACTACATATCCCCAGCCAGTTCTTCTTTGTAAGAATAAAGCCTAACAGCAAAACTCTATTTGTTGGCTCCTCTACCACCTGGACCTGGAAGTTATCTTCACTTCAGGAGACTTCTGGATTGTTTGCAGCCAGCCATTGCTGTTTTCCTAGCAAATGTATGAGTGACTGAAGTCTCCCATCAGGATAAGAGCCTGAGAGTGCAGTGCTTCTTGTAGCTGAAGCAAGAAGGCCTTGTCAACAAGCTCCCCTTGATCACATAGGCTGTAGTAAACCACGACCAACAGATGTCCTTTATTGGTCTAGTCTGTAATTTTTACTTACAAGCTATCATCATGATCATAGCTGTTTCTCAGAGGCAGCTCTTTGCAATTCACTTCATAATATGGAGGGCAACTATCCTGCTCCTCCTGCCCTATTTCTTCTAAAAACTTTGTAGACCTCAGTTGTAGCATACCAATTTTGTGACTCATCCCACCATTTTCTTATGATTGCAATTAGTTTGTATTTTCTCATTGCATTATTCCAGCTCCTCCTGCTTATTTCCCATGCTTTGTGCATTGGTTTAAAGGCACTTCAGCTGCATTACCTTATTCGAGGAGCCTTTCCAGATTCCTGTGGGACATATTTGAGGTTTTCCCTTGTTACTTCCTAAAGTGTCAGCGTTGCTTGCCTCTCTTACTCAGAAGTACATCCCCTTCCTTCATCAAATCTAGTTTAAAGCTCTGCTAGTCAGTTCAGACAGCTTGCTACCCTGAACGTTCTTTCCCAGCCTGGTCAATTTCATCCCATCCAACATTGACATGCCTGGTCTTTCAAAGGTACATCTAAGATCAAAGAATCCCAGGTCCTGAACAGGACACTATCCATGCAGACAACCCATTCAACATCTTTCCAAGGGACAAAAAGTGTGTGTTAATATTTTGCAGGACTTGAAGGAGTAGGAGCAGATAGTAATCCTCTGGCTTTATCAGACCTGGTAGTGTCTTCTTGATGTCACAAATGTGGGTGCCCAGTAGGCAACAAAACTCTCTACACAGATTGTCTGAGTGGCACATGGGTGCTTCTCAGCAAGGAGTCCTCAGTTACTATGCACTCTTCACCTTTTTCTGGTGATAGTGGTCCTAACTTTGATCCTTGGTCAAACCAATTTAATGCAGTTGTCCTTTCTTGGGTCTAGAGCTCAGTTTAAAACCTGTGCTGTGCTCGGGCAACTGGAAAGGTTGGGAATGCTAGATTATCTTTTCTTTTTGAATAATCTCAAGACAAGGCCTAAATTGATGAAAGACCAGTTCTCAAAAGCTAGAGATCTGCTCTCTGTAACAGCAGTGCATGTGGAGATGGTTGAAGGAATGCAGATTCTTACCTGGGCTTTCTTCCTGTGAGCTTCATGTACAGGTCATAGAGTATGGCAGGAGCCTTGTGACTAACAGTTATCCAGTACTGGTTTATTAAGTAGTTGGATGTCAAGTGAGCGTTGGGTGTTCTGAAGGCCTGTTCCAGTGGATTTCTTTTGAATGTGGACATGACATACTGCTCTGTAAAAGAACAGGCATTTTACTTAAAAGCAGGTGCTCAGATGAGTAGGGCACAGTCATAATGACATGCTGCAATAAAGTCCAAATTATGGTGCTTCACATGTTTAACCTGTAGTTCTGTGAACCATGTAACCAGGATTTGGACAGTATGATCCTATAGTGCCTTCTGGCATTAGCAGAACCACAGAATCATAGGACATCCTGAGTTGGAAGGGACCTACAAGGATCACTGGTTCCAAGTCTTAGCTCTACACAGAACTATACAAAAATCAAACAGTATTTCTCAGAGCATTGTCCAAATGCTCCTTGAACTCCAGCAAGCTTGGTGCTCTGACCACTGCTCTGGGGAGCCTGTTCCAGTGCACAGTCACCCACTGTGTATTTGTTTTCCCTTACACTCTCCTGATGGCAGCTCCATACCATTCCCTCTAGACTCATCACTATCACTAGAGAGAAGAGATAGGTGCCTGCTCCTTCAACTCTCCCTTATGAGGAAGCTGTAGGCTGTGATGAGGTCTCCCCTCAGTTTTCTCTTCTGTAGGCTGATCAAACCAAGGGACCTCAGCCACTCTTTAAATATCTTGTGCTCTAGACCATCTTTACAACCCTTCTTTGGATGCTCTCTAATACTTTTATGTCCTTCTTATATTGTGGCATTACACATAACTTGAGATGAGGTCACTTCAGTGCAAAGTAGAGATAACTCCCTGTATTGCTTATTTAGAAAATACGCTGCATTTAGACTTAACACTGGCAAACCTAAACTTTCCTATCAAAACACAACAATTTAATGGAAGAAAAGCAGGCAGTTGAAATGCCTTAAAGCATTTCAAACCAAGAAGCTACATTTCTGATTTTGCTTGTAGCAGACATAAAGAAACTGATAAGTTTCAACATCTTTAGATTATTCTCAGATCACTGAAAGCAAACTTTGAACTATTAGCATAAAACAAAGATGACGTTTTTTATTTCTTATAAAATTTCCAAAAGAACTATAATTAATATTGCTGAGTCAGGAAAAAGCTGCTTATTTATTATATAGTACAGTCCCACTTCTCAAAAGCCATCATTAAGATTTTCCAAATGACATCTGACTTACAACATCAAGTACTGTAGCTTGCTCTCACGTGAGCTATGGATGCACAGAGGCAACAAGTTCTGTTGCATTATTAACTTGAAAAACTCCCAATAGGGTGGAAATCATTTCATTCATTTTGCATGGTAAAGCGCAAAGTATTCTGGGCCCAGCTCTTGCAATGGTACTGAGCCACAGAAATGGCACCTAACTGTAACTAACTGGAGTATTTGCATATTGGAGGGGCTTAATGGAACAACAGTAGTTGAATATAAGACTATCATTGTAGGGACTGACAAACAGATGGTGCTGCTCTTTTTGAGCACCAATGAGCTAACCAAAGAATATATCCATTTTTTCCCCCTTTTTTTTTTTTTTTTTTTAAGTTGAACTATTTGCCCTCCAGTGAGTCTGAGAGTTATGACAGCAATCTGTGCTCATATTATAGTTTACAGTCTAAGCTTATGTTACAAACAGAAAATCAGATTAGAATTTGAAAGTCACAGAAATATCCAGATCATCTTTAGATAAGCAGATTTTGGTCATATATTCAGACAGTCCTCACAAGCATCTGCAGTCAGCTCATTAATGCAATTCAAGTAGTGATTTTTGCTTTACTTGGTGAAAGCAACTGGAGAAGACTTTAGTCGCAAAGTTGCAAAGTTGAGACAACAAAGACTTAAAATAGTTCAATTTAATTTGACTGCAGGTTCACTGTTAATTTTTTTTCCCATTATTTGGCATGTTTAATGGCTGAAAGCCAGTTCTGAAACTCATTTTACATTTCACTAGATAGAACTGACTGACTTCCTTTCTGTTTTATGTAGCCACACTGCAGTGCTGTGGTTATTCTGCAGTCATCTTGTGGAGTGTGATATAGAAATATTATGCTTTGCAGCATGTTCTCTCATTGCAGCGGGCTGCAAATGAAAGCCAGCTGGTCTGTGAGAGTAAGAAGGCCCAAGTCCTCGAGTGATGTTGCAGAAGCAGCAGGCTGGCTGGGAACGCGTCCTTCGAATTATTCTCTCACTGCAGGACAACAGCCTCTTGGCTAAAGCTGCAAACATATCAGAAAACCAACAGGCTGCTTTTTCTTTTTTATTTTTTTTCTTATATGAAAAGTAGAAGTACTAAAACTCTTTCCCTATCATCAGATAGAAATGAAATTTTCTAAAAGAAAACTTCAAATTTACCTTCTGTATTTCCAAGCATACTCACAGGCTTAAAGCAGTATATCCTGAACATACCCAGGCAGACAGTATTTACCTCTAAACTCCACAGGTTTCTGCCTTGAGTCTGGGCAACCCTAGCTCGGCAGCAGCAGGTGGGAACAGGGATTAGTTTTTTTTAATAGAAGTGGGTTCATTTAATATTATGGCAATTGTGCTCAATTTATACAGAAACTAACTGAGAGAGAAACAGGTAGGTAGGAAAAAAGTTGCCTTCAAAAAAATCACTTGCCCAGTCAGAGGAGCCTTTCAGCATACTGCAAGCACATATGAAAAGCTTGGTGAAAATGAATGTGTTGAGACCATGAACCTGCAAGCAGCTGTGCAACTAGCTTTGGAAAGAGGAGGAGACACAGGCTGCTGATAAATGTGTCAGCAGCTTTGTCATAGAAGAGTGACATTTCTCCGTGGCAGATTTAACAGGCAAACAATTCTATCCCCAGTGGTTATGGATCAGGAGAGCAATCCCATGAACTTTGCTTCTTTTTCCCTCAAGAAAGTTTCTCTTAGAGATACTAAACGACAGTTTATGTCTAAGTTCTCACCTACTTATCAACATTTGAGTTCTTCTAGTCTTCTTTGGTCACTTCATTTCCTCATGGAAACCTATCAGTTTCACCGAGAACAACTGATATTTTGGAATTGTGATAATTTTGATACTGTCTGTATGGCTTTGGCTCAATTCAAATCCTGATGTTAATACACCACAAATCAAGTTATCAGCTGTAAGTGATTGTGAATATTTCCTCCTGGAATCACATTAAAGATGTTGCTGCCCTTACCTCTTGGCATTTTTTTTTATTTCTATGGCCAGAATAGCAAGAAGGAACAAGTCAATCTTATATGCAGAAAGTGCAACTCTTGCCATGTCAGATGATTGGCCATGTTCAGAATTCACACAGATCAGCAACGCTTTTCACATTTTGGTTACATAATGCTTCTAGTGGAAAATGCAACTATAGTAAAGCAGCAGCAATATTATCACAGAATCACTGAATTGCAGGGGTTGGAAGGGACCTCTAGAGATCATCGAGTCCAACCTCTCTGCAAAGCTGGCTCCCTGCAGCAGGTTACACAGGTAAGTGTCCAGGTTAGTCTTCAACATCTCCAGAGGAGACTCCACAACCCCTCTGGGCAGCCTGTTCCAGTGCTCCATCACCCTCACTGTGAAGAAGTTCTTTTGCATATTCGTGCAAAACTTCATATGCTCCAGTTTATGGCTGTTGTCCTCTCCCCACAGACTGCTGAAAAGAGGTTGTCCATGTCCCTTTGTCTTCCATATTTAAGATATTTATAAACATTAATCAGATCCCCACTCAGTTTTCTTTTCTCAAGGCTGAACAGACCCTGGTCACCTAACAGCTGACCAGTTCCACCCTTATAGGGGAGATGCTCCAGGCCCTTTATCATCTTTGTGGCTCTCTACAGAACTCTCACCAGGAGATCCTTGTATTTTTTGTACCGGGGAGCCCAGAACTGGGTACAGTACTGCAAGTGATGCCTGATCAGGGTAGAGCAGAGGGGGACGATCACCTTCCTTGACCTGCTGGCCATGCTCCTTTTAATGTAGCCCAGGATGCCATTGGCATTCTCGGCCACCAAGGGCACACTGCTGGCTTGTGGCCAACCTGTTTTCCACCAGGATTCTTGGGTCCTTCCCTGCAAGGCTTCTCTCCAGCAGGTAACCTCCCAACCTGTACTGATAATGAGGTTAAAGTTATGCTGTTCTCTTCATGTGAGAAGCATCTCTATTCACAAGCAGATACTGCTGAAAACTTAAAATTCTTGAAGTCAGAAATGAAAGCAATTTTGTTTTAAAATAAACATAAGTGGACAGAGAGGCCAGTCTGAGACTTACTGAAAGGAATTCAGGAAAATGCCAGTTTTGCATGACATCAAACAGTTAATTCTACCGTATTCTTTATGAACCTCCCACCGTCTGAACACGAGTGCTTTATCTCCTAATTTTTGGAAAGGGTTCCAATTTCACAAGACTAAAAATGGCTTTTTATTCTAGAACCATTTGTGTTCTGGAGAGAAAATCAGACAAATAGACATTCTGAAACAGATGTGTTATACAGGCAAAAAAATGTGATCCAGAAACACTTCACCTCTAGGAGCTACTAAAATGGATTTAGGGAATGAGTGGAAGAGTGTGTGGAAGATAGTTTCATTACATATCTGGTACGAGAATCTAGCAGGGGTGGTGCCCTGCTAGAGTACCAGGGAAAGTCATGGAGCAAATCATCTTGGGTGAGATCACATAGCGCAGCAGTGGTGTCCAGGGAATCAGGCCCAGCCAAGCACGGGTTCATGAAAGGCAGGTTGTGCTTGACCAACCTCGTCTCCTTCTATGACTGGGTGACCAGACTGGTAGACAAGGAAAAGCCTGTTGACGTAGGCTACCTAGACTTCAGCAAAGCCTCTGACACGGTCTCTCACAGTAATCTCCTGGGAAAAGTGGCTGCCCATGGCCTGGACAGGTATACCCTTATCCAAAGAAAGGGCACATGTCTCTATCCTTCTTCCCCTATCCCCTTTTCCAGAGGCGTGGATCTGTGGGTCCCTCTGCCCTGCTAGTCACGGAACCTTGCTGAACCAGGCCATAAACAATTGACACTGCATTTTCTAACAATCTGAGAAGCTTCTCCTGTCTTCTCAGACTGTGACAAACCACAGCATTACATCTAACATTAAAAAAAATGGTCAGGAACCTGGAATTTTCAGAGCACAGCCAACTCTGGACATCTTTGCTGGCAGACCACTTGATCAAATCTCATAGCAGGACAGTAGTAATGCTTTCAGACTTGTCTTATTCTGAAAATGTAGTTATGGTCCATTTCCCTGCTGACTTAAAGTTTGCCTGTTAAATAATGGAAAGCAAAGGCTGAGAGAAATATCACTGTATTTTAAGTGCAAAGAAGTGAATGATGGTATAATAGAGGCAAATCAGGCCCTATACATCTCTCTATTGGTGTATTAATTATACATAGTATTTCGCAGTATGCAGGTAGGCCAAATTCTGTTACTTAGCTTGTGTGTCAGTTTACCACTGAAAAGGTGTTACAATGTGTCTTCCTATCTTTCACACCTGCCTCAGAAGCACATCCACTTGAAGAAGAGCCATGAAAATCATTTGAATTCTTTCACTGGCAACATTTACTATCAAAAGGCATATTTATCATTTTGAGGTTTCCCTTCTCAGGTATCTATAACGATATCTATTTAAACTATTCTGCACAGAGTGAAGAGGAAAGGCTACCGTCTCAATATTCTTGTCTTATGATTTCTGAAAATTAGAGCTTCCTTTATAAGGATGTAAGATTAGATCTCAAGGTTCCCCATGTGATTTCAAAGCACAAAAAAAAAAAAAAACCCTCTAAAAACCATCCCAAATCCAACAACCCCCAGCAATCAGAAAAGGAAGATTACCACTTACAGCTATGTAGAGTTGTTTCTTCTAGAACTAAGGGACTGGTTCTCTATTCACTTTTCCACCATGTTAATATCTCAGTTCAGCAAAGCATGTACTTTGTGGGGCTGCTACGTGATTACGCTCACAGTGAAAATCAAATAAATGCTTTCCTGAGCTGAATGCTCATCACTGGGAACTTTTGCTCCTGGAACCCTCGCTAACTACAGTTGGGCCTCTCACATACAGTTTGAATGACAGAAGTTGAATGTTACTTAAATGTAGGAAAGCACCTTTTCAAAGCTTGGCCAAGTAATGCTTTTGATAGTTGACATAATTCTGGTTTTTAATAGATCTTACCCATTTCTCCCCAGAAGAAAGGATTGATTCCGCCTGTTGTACAGTTGTACACCAACATGTTTTTTGGTCTGGAAAAGAGAAAGAAATATTGTTTTCACATGTGAAGAAAAGCACCCAAAGATTTATTAATGGAGCATGAACACTAACAGCCCAAGAAACAATAATATTAGCTCATTAAAAAAATGCAGAGGAGGTAATTTTTCATAACTATGAAAATACAGTATAAATTGTGAAGCTTTAAACAGATTCATTCAGATACTGGAGAGCAAATGAAGCTGTTAAAGACAGATGAGTCTTAAGATGAATCAGCCATAGCTGATCACTTAGCAAAAACTATTAAAACAATAAGGATAACATGCAAACTAACAACTGTAAGATTTTTAAAGTTTTTTTTAGCATACTGAATGTTAGCCCAAGCCAACATCAGTGACAAACTGTATATTTTCCAATAATTTACTTAATACATATGATCTGTACTGCTTTGAACTCTATTTGCCAAGGTGATGATTAAAAGTCAATCAATTCCAGCAACATTTTCATTTTAGTACCAAATAAAGCTTTCCTGTTTTTTTTTTTTGTGTGGAACTAAGCACAGATCGTGGAGTTTTATGTCTTGCTTTGATATAGGTCAAGGATTAGTCAAACTGATTTTTTAATCTAAATCTGCTTTGCCAATGGTGCAAGAAACACTATGAATATAGCAGTTTTTTACTCTACATTAGCAGCTGCAGCCAATATGCTAAAAGAGGTGAGATGTGGCCTTGAATAGGACTCAGCAACTCATTCTTTCTAGGTTATCTGTGGTGCTCATAGCCTGGATGTGCTGCCTATGTGGAAACTCTTTTCAAAAAACTTCCATGAATGAAGATACCAGGAGACAGAACTCCTGAAACAGGAAATCTCACACATTAACATTTGACAACTGCATTTGGCTACTGAGCAGATTTATATATATATTTTAATTAATGCTTTGAAATCATGTCATTTAATTGTTCAATACTACTTGAAATATAGTAGACTTCTAGGGATGATTAAGACTAACAGACATGTTGAGCTCTGAAATTATGGTCTATAACTTTGAATTACTAAGCAGAAATGCAATGATGTCTTAAACATAAGATGGCCTTTCTGTGCACTTCTGGATTGCAGAACTCAATATTCACAACTTGTGCATGACTAAATCCATAATATGAGACCATATAAAAATGCAGCTAGTGCTGAGCCACACAACAGTCTCATACAAACTGTGCTGATGCAAAAGCACAGACGTTCACTTACACCAGTGGGTACAGGCTCATTAAAGATGAATAAAGAAGACTTTTGCATCTTTCCAGCATCCAGTAAAGAGGATCTATCTTTTGTTGTTTTTCCATTCTCCACACTCCAGCTGAGTGAGTGTTGTTGGTCAAGTGTAGAGTTTTGTAGGGTTTCTACACTATGTAGTGCAGACTGCAATTCTCTGCTAAGATTCAGAATCTAATTTCTGCTAGTAATGAATGTCATCTGCCCTGAAGGACACTCACTTTCTATTTCTTATTAGATGATTTGAGAAAATTAAAGCCATACACACTATCCTTCGTGACAGCATTTACATGTGAAACTCAGTGAAAACAAATTTACAGAAGGCTCAGGATATTATGTTTTGTCTTACAGCTTACTAACCTTGGGGTCTTGCCCAGCAAGACAAAGCTTTAAATCAAGTTCTGCAACGGCTCATTTAGCCTAACAAATATTTGCACAGGATCAAAATTAAAAAACGTGTGTATTTTGCCAATAAACTGTTACAAATAATGGCATTTCTCTGACTATAGCCAGAACCAGGATGTCTATGGTGCTGATAAACTTTTCAACAGCGTATGCTTTCCTTCTTCTTCAGCTTTTTGGACAGGATGTAACCCTCAGTCTGGAGGCTTTAATGGGCAAGTGTGTAGATCTTAAAACGTTAGTGTAATTTACATATACCCTTCTCGATGAAGCAAAGAATAGGGATTTTATATCATCTTCCCTATCATATGAGCTTACAATATATTTGAGCAGTATTTTTCAACGAAAATATACAGAGCATTTTTACCAAGAAAACTCTAGAAGCCAACTGAAAAGCAACTCAATATAGCTGCATGAGGAGACAAAAAAAAAAGGCTACTAAGATATTGCAGTACAAATTCCAAACTTCATAAAAGTAACTTCCAGGAGATACCTGTCAAAGGAGCTTACATTTTACTAAGAAACAAGTATGGCCTGCAGATTGAGAGGTTGTCTAACACTAATATATGCCTTAAGTACTCTGCTCCTCATTCTTGCCAGCTGTGGGCAAGGAAATGTGAATCAGATAATGAGTCAACATGACTCTTACGCAGGCTTTCAGTTAGCTTCTCTTTAGGTTCTCTTTAAAGTCCAGAGCCAAGCAATATATGCTCCAGCCTGGCAGAAACAGGAGTGCCTTCCCACCTGTGCACAGCAGTGTACCACCCAGCCGCAAGGGTGAGGTTGATGACCACATCAACTGGAATCATATCAGCCACCGCTTCGTTGTTAGCAATGACGGTCCTTAGAATCCCCTTTCCTGCCTGCGGGACAAAGAAAAGCAGTCACTGACAGTAAGCTACTGCAAGATTTCATTGGCTTAGAGCATGGGCAGACTTTAACATTTTTCAAGCACCTGCTACAGAAGCTGGCTGGTTTCTGTTAAAACAAACATGGATCTCATGTTCATCTCACTGTTCGGTATTTTCACAGAAAGCCTGAAGCATGATGACATGTGCTGCACATAATGAGAAATCAATGACTTTTAGTTAACTCAATGTAAAAGGAATGCACTCAATGTAAAATTGAATATACTGAAATAAAATTTCCACTGAAGTTCCATTTTCTTAAATGAACCAGGCAGACAGAGGTCTGAATGTCTTTTAAAGATAGTAGTTGCTTTGGAAATGAAGCTGATAACCATTTTTAGAAGTTTACCGCTTTCCTTTGGATATATTCATACTTTACTCTTTTCCAGAGCTCTGCCTGTTACAGACAAATACACAGGTAAGATGTGGCCCATGCCCTGAAGCTTCCCAGTTTAAAAGGAAACTCAGGAAATTAATATGAAAATACAAAAGAGAAGGCAAGAACTGTAAGATCTTTGCTTTTGCTAGAAGTGCATTTGTCAGGGGCTAGATCCCCAGAATACATATTTTTAAACTGAATGCTTATAAAGGAGTTTCCCTAATGACCAATTAGTTTTTGGAGGTTCCACAGGAGAGACATGGCTGGGAGAGACTCAAAGGAACAGATGGAAATGTGGCAGCCTTAATCAAACAGGACAATTTGTAAATAAAGAAAATTTGTGACGAAATGACAGAGCATGGAACAAAGCAATTTAAAAAAGAAATCTCAACAGGAAAGCAAAGGTTGCATTTATCTAGTACATGGGAAATAAAATGTGATTGAGTTTGATGTAGAAACTGAAAACCTCCTGAAATAAGCTATGAGGATAAGAGCACAAGTGAAGAAAAGAAGTAAAAAACCTCTAACAATTTAGTTCAGTGTTAATTTGAGGGAGATACACAGGTAAAAGGACAGATGATAGACACCAAAGACCCAAGAATGTTTATAAAAATCAGGGCAGAGGAAATTTTATAGCAATTCTTTTTTTTTTTCCCCAACCTAACTCTTGCAAGTTAGGTTTCACCATGGAACCTGAAAATTTCCTGTTCAATCATGAAATAGTTCTCCAGCTCTGAAAGATCAAGTTTTACTACTAAAACTAAATAGGAAGTGCCTGGTTGTGCAAAACTTTCACCTGAAAATCTAAATGAAAAGAAAGGTGTGATGAAAAAACATTTAAGACCTGATATTACCTTGTAAATCATGTCATTTTTGACTGCACTGTAAAAGGGTCCATCACATCCCCTGTTTGGGAGGTGTTTATATGGGTTATTTTGTTCTCTTTTTTCTTCCTTTATACAATTAGATGGGTTTGTTTTATTTCACAGCTTGCAAGTAGGATACTGCTTATGACACTGATTTGATCTTCATGAGTTAAGGCTCCTGAGCCGTTGCATCTTACTGTTGGTGCAGCTGGCAGAGATACATGTAACCATGCAAGCTTTCCCACATGATTCCAAACACACTCCTCAAACCCATGGTGTGCAGTTAACTTCTGCTGTACTAACCTGAACCACAGTTATGTTTAGACATTAAAACCTTAACGTGCAACATGACTATGATTGTACTTTTGTTGTTGTTGTTCCTACTGCTGTCTTTTCAAGGGAAATTGCAAGCAATTAAAAAGACCCAAAGCAGCCAGTCAAGCCCTGCTGTAAACTTTCAGCTGCTGTGAATATATGCCCACTAGAGAACACTGTGTGATCAATTATCCCATTTTAATAGGCAGACTAAAGACCTTTCCAAGGTCGGGATTCAAAACCAATAAGTTTGATGGATGTGCTGCAAACATCTACATTCAGAGCAGCATATGATGATTATATACACATAAATGAATTGGATGTTTAGTATATTTTGTATATAGTAGAGAGTTTAACTTTAATGTTGCAAATTACTTCCAACATCAGAAAGCTTGGAATTTCTTTATCAGATCAGCTTGATTTCTATTAGTGCTTGCTGACTTTTTTCCTCTTTAGTGAGATGGAAAGTCAGGAAATTGAGATTCTGTTACATGATTCAGTCTCTGCCACTTGTGAATTACACCTATTTTCAGGGATGCATTTTATGCCACTTCTCACAAAATTTTCTAAAACCCTGAAAACTACAGTTCACACTGCAACATGCATGCTCTTTCAAAATGTCCTTTTCTGAGTACAGCTTAGATGTTATGTGCCATGGGCATGTGGATTCATGGCAGGAGCATGACCTCTTTCAACCAAATTCAGGAAGTTTCTATAATCTTTTTTGCACGCAGTTTCGCAATGGGGCTTTACAGTGTCTTTAGTAGCTAACTCCACTTTAACAGAACATTAAATAGTAACTAAACATACCGCAACAAATATTCCACTTGTCCCATTGAAGCTGTCAATCCAACCCTGCAAAAAAAGGATGATAGGTTGCTTATACAGGTTTCAGAATGCTGAAAGGGCTATAGTGCTAAGGTTTAAATTGAGAAGGAATGAGAAAACAGTTAAGACAGCTACCAACCCATCTGGGACAGTTGTCAGGAAGCTAACCAGAATGAAAATATGCTTTGCATGATACCTCATACTATCTACCCATCAACAACACAATCAAACCATGTTTTTAGAAACCACTCCTTTCCTAAAGTAACTCAGCTACAGAAAGAAACTCTGGCTTTAAAGCACTACAGTGTCTTGGTGCTGTCATACTTAATAAAAACCGTCAGCATGTTGCGTATCCAATAACACAGATGCCACTGAGACCAATCCGATTACTTCAACTAATTTCTAAAGTAAGGAGGAAAAGATACCAACTCTACTTTTGAATCCCATCCTACTCCAAGCCAGAGAAACTTCCCTGTGTGGGACAGAAGTTAAAGCAGTGAAAGGCTGCATGACCCAAGGTGATTTATGATGCCTAGCAGAATTATTTCCATCTTTCTGAGATGAAGAGGTTGTCCCAGAGCTGTGGCTGTACATCAACCATCTCTGGCACACTTCAAGCTCTATGAAAAGCAAAGGTGACTTTATGTTGCCTTTCTAATTTGGCTGCAATATTAGGGTACATTTAGCCTAGAGAGTTGTTTCAGTCCAAAAGTACAGCTGCATTTAATTGCTGTGTGGCTGACACATTTTGTCTGCAACAGGCTCGTACAAGTGTGAATCCAGTGAATTCAACAACTACTGAAGTAAGATAAAAATAGTAGTAGCTGAACATGACCTGGGTGCTTATCAGGACCATAATAATAGGATGGATAGATCATGGAAAGACTTGAACCAGAATGCATCAGGAATGTTCTAACAAGTGTTACACCAACAAGCACAGAAACTCTCCTGTGTGGCTGCCTGGGCACTATCCTCTGCATATAAGATTGTAAATCGCAAGTCCAGCATCTTGCATCCATGTTATTCTATCTCTTTGTTTTAAATACGTTCCTTCCACTCATAGACAAAAGTATTTCCAGAGATGTTAAACACTTGCTGCTCTACTTCAGCATAGGTCCCCTACCTCTCTCACATGCTTTCCTTAAACTGGGACACTTGTTTCTCAAGAGGATACTGGCAGAGTGTATGCAGCTGCATTAAAGTATTCTCAGTAGGGAATTGCTGTGGATTAATGCTTACTGGAAAAGGCTCGTGCCAACTAGCTCCCACGATGGACGGCCTAATGATAGCGATGTTCAAATTTCCTTTCTCTTGCTGAATTAGGTATTCAGACAAGGCTTTGGTGTAGGTGTAAGTGTTGGGCCAGTCCCCAAGAAGCTTGGGTGTGATATCTTGAATGATAGATTCATCCAACCACCTATAAAAAACAAGAAGAAGGATGTATACATAGGTAAGAAAAGACCAGTTATGACAGGAATCCTCTCCTGAAACAAAGGATAAGTAAGTCAAAACCATATAACACAAAGCAAGAAGTGACAAGATTTGGATTTAGTTTAATAGCTCTGTAGGATAAAGTTACTTTTGTCTAGGAAGTACAAAATCATCCTGTTGAACATCCTGCTGGGATGTCCAGCTGAGCTACAGATGTCTATGCTATTTCATTGTGAAGCAATCTCATTTGCTTTATGTTTCTCTGCAGTCTGTTTTCTAGCTGTAACTGGTCTACAATTAGTCTGATGGAGCCTTCCAGTCTGATACTCTGGCTAGATAACAGTCATGCTCAGTCAGCAGACTCTGTATATACACCCATGTATAATTCAGGCTATTCTTGGTAACCTCGAGTTACTAAACTGAAAAGATTTCAAAAGTTGTAATTGCATACTGCAGCAATAATATTCCACTTGCGCGATTTACAGTGTTAGATGTTCTTTTCTACTGGTTTTCCACTGGCTTGTTCACACAGAAAATTAGGAAATTGCCAGTGTTAGCTACTTTTAATAGAAAAAAGTAGAGAAAAAAAAAAACCAAAAACAACAAACATGACATCCACCAAGTAATCTTAGTAAGGTATTCAGGTAGTGATGCATGCACCTTTAAAAATGTGGCCCTTACCACTGCAGTGCTGCAGTGAGAATCTAAGACTCAAAAGGCTTCCTCCTGGCACACCAGCAGTGCTTCCCCAGTCCTGCCAGAATTACAGGAACTGGCTGTACTTCCAGAGCCCTCACACACTGCTGCCAATCCAGGACGGATTTTCAACAGTCTGATGCTGCACCACAGAATCAAAGATTAACTCCCATAATCCAATTTGTAATTAAGTCAATGGACTTACAGTTCAGACTAACTGCATGTACCTTTCACAGGGGCATTGCAAGGATACTGTTGTCTGCAGATCCTCATTTCACCCCTCCTTATCTTGAATTTCAGACAGTAATGAGGTGGAGATTGTCGTGCCTGGCAAATTACTTGATCACATCAACTTGGATGTGCAAATACCTGATCATGGCATAGTGCTTTTCATATGGCTCTGACTATATACAGCTTACTATACTGCATCAAGATTTTTGTGTGAGAAAACACTGAATCATTGTAACTGTCAAACAGTGTCCAAAGAAGGGTTGATTTCAGTCAATCTTTAAGTTTTAGAACTAGTTAAAAATAATCTGTCATTTTTAGCATCTAGAAATCAAACTTATACAACTGAAAAAAACACCAACCTCTGCAGGCACAAATATTTTCCTTTGAAACCATTATTACCATGTCTCAGAAATAAGGCAGAAAAATTGAGCACAAGAAAAGTTAAACTAAACTGAACTAAACTATGGGGCTATAAGTAGCACACAATACTGGCTCAATTTACAAAGCCTGTTTAGGCAATCACAGCCTCTTCAGGGCCACAGCTAAACTGACATTGTCTAAATCTGTCAAGCAATTAATTAATTGTCTTCCAAAAGGAGAAATCTATTTCTGCAGTGCCCGGAGGAAGACTAGAATGAGTCAGGAGCTCAGATAGAGCTGAATATGAGGTTGTTTTTTTGTTTTTGTATAAATACATACACATATTTAAAACAAGACATACAGATTAGGAGGCCTCAGAAAGCAAAAACAGGTGTAGAAGAAGCAATTTCTCCTTTCCCTCATCCTTCCAGACAAGCTTCTGCATTGCTTTAAGTGTTCACCACTAGGAGCATGCTTATGTGTGCCCCAAGAGCACTGTCCTACCAGGTGATTTGATCTGCCAGCATTGCAGTCAGACGCGCTGAGCTGACAGTTCAGCAAGGCAAACTGTTTTCAGTCCTTCAGTGACCTACTTTGAAGAATCTGAAATTCTAAATCATAAAGCAACTGCTTTTGCTCACTGCTGCAATTGGTCCATAGAAAAAAAGAAATGCTGATAAAAAAATAAGTAGCCTCTCCTTCCAACACAAACATGCACTAAATAACTCTATCATAGGAAAACATAGTTTACTGTGTTAATCACTTTTCGTTAATATGACACTCTCTTGTAAGTGGTGACAGACATACATTTTCTGCAATACAATACTAATAACAGTTTTACTTCAGCCCACACTTTACTGTGTGCTGTGTTCCTTACCTCAGCATACCCTTCAAAGCTGATTTCCGTCAGCTTCAGATTAAGGCAAACTTCGCTTGATGTGTCAGATTATATGTTTCCCCTAATGGCCTGACAGCACTTAGAAGAATGACTTCTGATTTGCTCAGATTAAGCCTGAAGTTTTACATGCAGGTAAAGTATAAAAATATAAGAAAGCAGGGATATAACAGCAGCAAAAGAACAGAAAAAGTAACAGTTGGAATTCTACATGGATTTCACCTGAATACAGAATCATAAGTAGATACCAATCATATGGCCAAAAATAACACTGAACTTAGTCCAGTTGTGGGATCACAGTTTCTGCTGCATTCTCTTCTACTTGAACTTTCTCAATGAGTTAAAAATTCACACTGCACAGCACTTGTTCTGTACTGCCCTTCTCTTCCTTATCTTACCTCCTAACATCCCAGGGAGCTTCTGCTTCCTGCTCCTCCATGCATCTCCCTCACACATTGCCTTTGATTTTCAATTTCTAAACCAATTACCCTGAAGGCAGTTATTTTCACTGAGGCCCACCTTAATTCAATGCCTTTGAGGGCTGTGATTGTCTTCACACTGAGCCATCATACTTGCACCTGCAAACACTGTAAAGAAACAGATACTATTCTAGCTGAGGGCATGCTGTGAATTTTATCTCAGTAGAAGTACCAGAAGGTGGTTAACTTCTGGAGTAAAAACACAGGAAAAACTGTAAAACAAACCAAAAATCCAAGCAAAAAGCAAGGAAAAAAAGTCTCTTATAACATGACTAAGAAACAACAACCAAACATACTACAAAGAAAAACACATTGAAGAACTTATTTGAGACCCCAACCTCTGTCACTCAACCCGTCTTTTAAATATCTTTCTCTTTGCTGTGTATATAAACTACAATAAATTAATTCTTACTATCTTATCTGAAGCAGCTGAAGTAGCAACCTCTGGGTTAGCTAGGCAATTCTACATGTTAAAGATTAATGTTCAGAATGCTTTGCTGGAGTCTTTTTATCTGAGCCATCAACACTAATTGTTTCTGAAGACACAAGTGGTGGTAAGCTTTTAGGAGCAGTGATATATAATATTGACAGTGATGAACTCCATTGGACATTATAAAACCGAGTCACCAGGCAAAAGTTGCAGCTGAGCTTCCCTGCAGATAAATGTAAGGTAATGTATTTAGAGAAAAGCAGGCTAAACTGTTCTTAGAGGTTGCTGAACTCAGGGCTGGCAGCCACCACTCAGCAAGAGCTCTTGGGAGCACAGCTGAGAGTTCCATGTTAGCCCTGAATAGGGCAAATGCTGCATATACTCCTGTGCTATAACTTCAGGACATGAAATGAAACCATGAGGATGGCACTTTGAAAGAGATAAAAGAAAGCTCATCTTCACACTGCAGTTAGTAGAATTTGAGAACCATAGAGGAGTTGCAGAAGCAGAGTACCAGAAATTTCAAAAAGGGATTAAAAAAATTAATGAATTCAAAAATGGAATTAAAAATAATAGGATGCAACACCCTTCTTGCAATGAGGAATGTTACATCAGATTACAATGAGCTTGCTGCACAGAAGACCAATGGTATCCTGGACTGCACCAGAAGAGGGGTGCCAGCAGCGCAATGGAGGTGATTGTCCCTCTCTACTCTGCCCTCATGAGGCCCCATCTGGAGTGCTGCATCTAGGTCTGCGGTCCCCAACACAAGGAAAGATTCCAGGTTTTTGGAGAGGATCCAGATGTGCCACAAAGATCATCAGAGGGCTGGAGCACCTCTTCCAGGAAGACAGGCTGAAGAAGCTGGGTTTGTTCAGTCTGGAGGAGAGAAGGCTCCAGGGACACCTCATTATAGCCTTCCAGTATTTAAAGGGAGATTATAAACAGGAAGAAAACTAGCTTTTTACATGGGTAGATACTAATAGGACAAAGGGGAATGGGCTGGGGGGATTGGAACCTGATGATCCTTGAAGTCCCTTACAACCCAAGTCATCCTATGATTCTGTGATTCATTGGTTGTGGTTTCTGGGAGACTACAAGGGGAATGCATCACTGTGCAGGCCTGTGCAGTTACCTTGAAAGCTTTGCCACTGTTGAGGGCAATGTAGTGGGCCAGGCAGTCCAACACTAATGTAATAAGGCATTTCTTACATATTTATCGTGCTCTGATAAATGACAAATAACTATTAACTGGAAGTAAACACATCCAAGACCAGGGTTACTGGAAGAACTGAAAAAGAAAACACTGATTTTTACTAAGTTTTGTGGAGTAGCACTTTGTGAAATTATTTCTTTTGGCAAGAATCAAGAAGAAAGAATTTATACCAGCTCTCTGGGTTGGTAGGTCATAGGTTAGTTGCTTATATCACACAGATGAAATAACACTGTTAAATAAATGAAAACAAAGTTACATCTGTAGGAAAATTTTAAAGATAAGGCTTCCTGGGACTTTCATCAGCACATTTTGTTATTTTTAGTAATTAGTCTTCATTTTGGCAAATGAAATTAAACATACCTTTTCGTTGTTTCATCAAATTCCTAAATATTCACTGTGATTGAACTGTGGTTCTCAACAGAGAACAGTCCTGCTTCTGTGGATGGCCTAGCAGCTTATTTGAAGAGAGTTATCCTGAGGAAAGTAGCCCTTACAGGGTGAACTCAGCAGGCTTGGCTGCAGCCCTTGGGGGGTCTGTATCTCTTGGCAACATTTCCAAATTGTTTCTAAAACAACCTATTTCTGACTAATATCTGTATTGCTCCAGCTTAGCATAGCAGAATTTTTGTACTACGTAGAAACAATGCTGAGAATCTGGAGAGAGAAAAAAGTGATTATAAGGTATACAGAAACTTTCAGATCTCACCAAGCTAGCAACAGGGCTGAGTACTGCAGAAAGCAGCAGCACAACTTCATTCCTGGTAGCAATGCACTCATGTATAATTTAGCGCTGGACTCTAATGAAATCACTACGTCTTTTTAGAAATGGTGTGTGAAAAAATGTAGGAGTAACTGAAATGACAGACTTATCAATTATGTTTTATGTTGCTTTATAATTCTTTTGTATTTGGGAAAGTATTGGTAAGCTCAGCCAAATGAGTAGTTTCTACTTACTCTACTAAATCAAAAAGCTTCTTGGGTTCAGCTGGAGGTGGGTAGATGATTTCATCTATGCACTTCCGCACACAGTTTGCATAGGCAGTGGAGATGTGGATGAAAGCTTCCAGCTTCTGCATCTGCTGGGCCAGTTCTAGAAGCCTCTGTGTGCCCATTGCATTCAGTTGCAAGGCATGTCTAAAGAGGGCAGGGAAAGAAACAAAATGCATTTCACCGGGAAGAATTTATCAAATCCAAACCCTTCTTCCTGACAAATAAAAAACAAATATGGGAAGGGGTCACAGGTAACAGCACATTTGACCAAAATGTGTTCAAACAAAATCATTATAAATGGTGTAGTAGCTTGACAGCTGCTGGTCACAATGCTGATCTTTTCATTCACAATGTGGTTTTATTTGTTCTCAAAGTTGTTTTTCTAAACTCCAGTCACATTCTTTATCACCACTGAGGGGTGGCCTAGGTTTCTTTATGGTTTTACCAGTTTGTATGTAGCATATGCTCCCATTGCACTGAAAGGAGCTGAAAGTATCAAATAGCAACATATAAAATAACCTTCAGAGAGATCCACTGATCTAGCCACAGGATGCAACTGAAATATTTTTACTCAGTTTGAAGGTTCACAGGTAACATTTCAGTAACATGTCTAAATCTGACATACTACTTGCCACATTCTCTTGGAACAAATATTTCCAATATACATGACCATTGAGTTGCTGTAATTTCTTTGGTCTGCACTCAGCTTTCTCCTTAGGTGGCCATTGCTAAACCAGACACATGCAAGGGTTCAGAAAAGAGTCCTTGAGCCCAGAAATACAGGTTGATACAGAAAGAGGCCACAATGAGAGATAACAAATTCTCAAGGAATGGGAAAAAAGACTGATTAAAAAAGAAGACAGAAAGCATCCTGGCTAACAAGTCTGACCTTGAAGGATCCACACTGCATACTCGCTGTATCTCAGTGAAGAAACACTCAACTTTGTTGCACTTTCCCATACAGAATGGAAAACGCTAAGGAATTTGCAATCTGTTCAGCCCTGAATTAGAGGGTTTCAACACAACAAACATAAGAGACTATGTATAATGTTGTCCAGTAAAGGGTACGCTAAAGAAATTAATTATACAGTCACTGAAGTGAAACTGTAAATAGTCCAGATGAATGAAGGCAGAAGCTAAGGGTATGATTAATGTTTGGATCACAGTATCTCAACCCAGAGATACCAATTTTAATAACATGGTGCTATTAAGTGATAGTATTTTGTATAGATTTCTATTTTCTCGTCACTTGTCTCTCTTGTAGAATATTAGAATATTTCTACTTTAGTTTCCTTTCACATTAAAGTTGCTTTTTCATGTACATTTCTATTGCACTGTAATCTTTCTAAGATGGGATGAATACAATTGCACTCCAAGTGCAGACTCAGCATGAATTCCTAATGGGAAAGAGTTCCTTTATCCTTGTATGGGAATATTATCCGTGGCTCTTTAGTTTTTTTATTTTTTATAGGTTTTTTTTTTTCAATTTATGTTAAAACTGCATCTACTAATATTTCAATATAACAGTTTCTCAGATTTCTGCCCTCAATAACTGCATCTGGAGAATTCCCTAATTCCTCCATATTGATGCCAATAATTCATTTAGTCACTGCTTTTCTAGTATCTTGATAACACTGCCTTTGTATCACATTGAACTTGCTAGACTTCTCATTCAGACAAGGCTCATTTCCGTCTAACATCTTCAAACGTTTTGTCATTTAATCATAGTGAATTTTGCTTGTCTTCATATGGAGATTTTGACAGATCAGATACAATCAGTCTTCATATAGCCTCTACGCTGCCTCGAAGCAGAGGACTATTTAAGCTTTTTCTTTTAATTTCCTTCTAGCTATCTCCCTTATTAAAAGTTGTAGTTTCTCTTTGATGTTATATGTCACTGTGGTGTATTTTCGTAGTATAATCATTCCTCTATCAATTCAAGAACATTTATGGATATTAATGCAGAATAGTGCTTTGCTCGTTACAGCTTGAGATGCTTTTATAAATGGAATTGCTTCCTTTCTGTTGGATTCTCTAATTACTTGCAAAAAGCAGCTACTTATGTACTTATGGTGAACAGGGTGGCTATCTATTTAGCCTGCAAAGGAGCAAATGAAGACAGAATATCAATAATTGTGTTTTCTATTCTCATGGCTCTAGGATTTTTCATGAAACTGGGAAGATCTGGCAATCCAAATCAGCCACCTCAGCTTGCTGATCTAAATTATTTGCACAGAAGCACTTACATATTCCATTTATTATGCTTACTTCTTCTTTTTTAATGGAAAGCCTTCTCTGAAAAGGCTGTCCCAAGGGAGCTGTTTCAGAAATTGTGTATCTATTTTGAACAGTTAATTACTCTGAATATTGGGTATTTTAAATCTTGTGAAAGGCTATTTTGTTAAACATAATCTTATTTCCCTCTTCAGTTATTCATTGACAAATAAAGGCCATTAACACTAACTAGCTTTAGAGATACACATAACACAATTTCGTTTCAAGCTGTCTCCAGCTAGTTCTGCCAAAACATTTCCCTCTTGCTCTAAAACACTTTTCTCTACACATTTTAGGTCATTATTTACTCTCTTACTATTTTACAATCCAAGCTTGTCATATTTCCTTCTGTTCCCATGGAAATCTGCCAAGTTACTTCACTTCTGAAGTACACACGTACATGACATTTTTAGAGCATTTAGGAAATGTACGATAAGTGCAGGACTACATGCTGCATGAAAATCTAAACAAAGATTATTGCAGCTATTCAAGAGACGTACTGAATACTGTAATATGAACCACTGTGCATTCTGAATAATGATTAGCAAACACAGAAAGCAGAACATACTTTAGGGGTTCATCAAAGCGTACTGTTGCTGCACAGTGGAAGACAATATTGACCCGGGTCAGAAGCTCCTCCTCATCTTCAGCACTGATGGCCAACTTGGGCTGAGTGAGTTCAGCATTAATAGGCTTAATCTTCTCATGGAAATTAGGGCAATCTTCTCGAACCCTGTCAAAGACCTTGAAGCACAGAGATAATGTACAGAATTAGGCTATTGAAATCACTTTGATTAGTAGCCAGTCTGATTTTGTCAGGCAATGATATTGACATGAAAGAGAATTCTCCCTCCCCATTCTTTCAGAGATGACAAAATAGTTAATTCACATGTTTCCTTCCAACGAAAAACTTCACAGGAAAGCAAACAAACCAAAAAAAAATTGCAGGAGGGAATGCAGTGCCTTGAAGAGATGAATGAATCTTATCTAAACCACTCATTTCTTGGGGCAGCCACTGAAATTTCTGTATCTCCACATCTCCTTGCAACCAGTTTTTATTTGACCTCAGGGACAACCACAAACCACAAAGGAAGCTAAGGAGGAGGAGGGCAGAATTTGGAGTTGGGAAGCCTATGAACTATTTGTTCCATACATTTTCTTCATTGCTCTACAGACGGCTTGAGAATAGAAGATCATGCTCCAGCTCATCCTCTTCCTTAAATGCCATTTTCCAATTTGCACTCTTCATTCATTAAAATAAGTACCATGGGAGTTCTCCTTGGTATGCAAAAAAAGGAACAGTGAGAAACGGTACTGCTCAAGTTGCATGACTGGACAAATGTGCAGCTAGCTGGCCTTTCAAGTCATTTTTTTTTATGACTGTTTCATTAGCTCTTTCAAACGCTCATTTTCTTTCCAGTCTTTTGCAGAATGACAAGACTATACATTCCATTCAGTAAAAAGATTCCTACATTTTCATACACTGTCTGCTGGATGACTGGTCCAAAATTAGCATTGATCCAAGAGAGCAGGTACCCTGCAAGATAACTATGAACAGCCTTTCTGAAAGGAATAGGAAACCGCTTTTTCACATGAAAAGCGCCCGTGTAAAAATGGCAATTTCCTCAGTTCCCATTTTTACTTTGTAAATTAATTACACTTTAATCATTAGCTCTGAGTCACTGATAAGGTTCTGGGTGAGGTTCTGCTTGATACCTGAAAACAGGCAGCTACTACAAGTTCCGCCTGGTAACCCTTTATTTGCTTAACCTCAAAGGCAAAAGTGTAGAATCTTGAATTTCAAAGGATTATGTGAATTTGTTACAGTACAATTTGAAAAAATCATTGAATTTTGAATTGAGCAAAACTATAAATGTCTGTTCTAAAGGTTTTGTGTTTCCAGCTAGCATCATTTTATTTGAACAACTACAACTGAAATAATAGTAACAGTTAAGACCTCCGTTTTGGGGGCAGAGAGCCAGCAACAACAAGGGCAGAAAGAATAACAAGAATAGAGAGTGAGTGGAATCAGACTCTATATATAGAGTCTAGTTTTCAAAGGATAACCACATTTCAAAGGTAATCAGCCCACAGACAGAAATGACTAAGTGCTGGGACAAATCACTGGTGGAAGCTGCAGGATACCGCTTTGGATACATTTATGAACTGCCAAGATAAGCACTGCCAGGAAAGGCAGGAAATAGCTAGGTCTGTTTCAGGGTAAGAAGATGGACCAGCTGACTTTTCAGTAGCTCTGATTTATTTGGTTGTTTCCTCTGCTGCATAACTTACTCACTAGTAGTATTGAGTTTGCAAATCTCTTTACTATTACTGTGTCGTTTTCCTGGAGATTGTCTTAACTTTGATCTCTCCAGTGCCTATGGAAGAGTTCTAAGAAGATGTAAGACTGAAGTTATCTTCTAAGAATTTTAAGAACAATTGCTTGTTTGTTTGTTTTATTGCGAAGAGAGTAAAAAACTCCTCTCAGTAAGAATTATTAAGTACCTGTTTTACTCTGGCAAAAATAATGCAAAGGTAAAGAAAGAATATATCAGCCCTTCCTCTATTTCAGTCATAGTGTATATAAACAGACGAGTATTTCTGCAGGGCCAACTTGATTCAAATTCAGACTGATATATTCTGCCTAAACCCATCTCCTCTGCTTGCAGGTAATATCCTCTTCCATTTCTGAGCATTCTGTTAGGTGTTGTCTACTACTACATATTACTCAAAAACTATAGAGTTTCACTCCCTCCAATGATTAACTGAATTCCACTGGAAAAGTAAGTCATTTTCTAAAGGGAAGCTCACAAATCAGCACACCCTTTGGAAACCTTCTGGATCACAAGAACATTCAGTTCATTAAACAGGAGCAGCTGTTTAATCAAAGTCTATTGCCTCTTTTATGAAATCTGAAGGTTTCAGACTTGTCAGTACTTCACAGGAAAGTGCAAGAAGATTTAAGGACGAGACAAATGCAGCTTATTCTATGTTTCCTCCTGTAGCTGAAGGAATGCCTAACATAAAGATGATGCTGATTCTACAGTTTAGCAATAAAATAATCTCTAAATTCTCATTAATTCACAAAGACAATGTACAATAAATCCCTAATAACTTCATAAGGCCTTAGCATTGTTCTGTCTTTCCTTTTTGGAAGCTGTCTGTCCATCCAAGATAGATTTCAGGGATAGAAGTAGGCTGGTATACTGCACTGATGGGTTTGTGTGAAAATCCTACCCAAGTCAGAAATAATGCAGAAGTGATACACTATGACAATTATAGTGAGGAAAAAATGTTTGATCGTCTATGTCCAGTACTAAGTAAGTGGAGCAAAATCAGTAATACTGCATTCTGCCTTCCTGAGTATTCTAACACATTCCAATGGCGACACCACAGCCTTGGACGAAAGGGAATAAATAAATCACTGCAGAAAGACAGCTGCTATTTTCACTTTAATCCTCAAAAAAAGGACTCAGGTTCTGCAGAGTGTTTGTGCTACTATTAGCAGAGGAGAATTTCACTCTGGAATTTGCTGATTTTTTCTTATTTTATAGTTATACAGTTAGGCAGTTCCCATTTATGAAAGTAATATCTGATTTCAATTTACACTGTCAACCTCTTGTTGTGAAAACAACACTTCCAGAATTAATCTCAATATTATATGAGTGTTTTTGACGAGTCTCTCTTTCCCCACTTCTGCTCACTTAAGCTTTGGCATCTGTAATTCTCTCTGCCCTTAAATTACAGAATTTATAGTTGAAAGTGATTTCTGCCCATCAGTCTTTCATTCAGGACTTTTTAATACCACAAAAACCTTCCAAGAAAGGATAAACTGCACATCTTTGGAAGGAGCACAGCTGAAAGATAGAAGAACAATCAAACAATGTAAAATGCCAAGGGCTTAGCTTCTTCCGTAGGAGACATTTTCAGTGAAGACAAAATAATTTGAGAAAAACATATAAGTTTGGTAAAAAGCAGTATCTTATGACAGCTTTTTAAAGAAGCCATGGTAGTCCTCCTTTTAGAGGGGTACCACAGCAAGGAAGAATTAAGAAAGGCCAACTTTCTGCAGCAGGCACTATGCAGCATGGCATTTCATTAAGGAACACATGCAGGAGGGAAAACAGTACTCCTATTTGCTCAGTAATGCTAACGCTTTCCTGAGCTCTCCTCTGATGTGAAAGATGAATCTTCCAAAGCTTTGAATACATATGCTGTGACCCAGCAGTGCTGAAGATCAGCTACTGCTCTCCATCAACCTACTCAAGATCCCTTACTCTGAGAACACCTGTTGGCATTAACAGCTCTTTTAGGAGCCTATTAAAGGCCAAGTTCATGCTTGCTCACTGGCAGGATCAAGGTCAGGTGTCTAACTAACTGAAGGTGGCTGACCCAGAAAGCACAAAGATTTAAAAAATGGCCTAGAAAGGTTACTTTCTCTTTTCTCCCATGACATGAAAACAATTTTGAGGCATTCAAATTACAGTATGTTAACCAGATGTCAGTGTTTTTATTTTTTCTTCTCCCTTTTTCTTATTTTTCTGAGAAAAATCAATGCAATATGGTGAATAGTGGGGCCAAGCGTTTAACAGAATACCAGCCTTCTCTAAAAGGATTACCAGAACTTGTTAATTTGCATGATAATATGCAGATTTTACGGCATTACAGTATGAGAACACTTAAAATGGAGGAAAATTAGGCAATTCCACAAACTGCATCATAGATATGAGGTATTGCTGAGAGGATTAAGGTTGAAAGAGATCAATTAAAAACAATAACAGACAACAAGAAATAAAACAAAGCAGAAAGCTTCCATCTTCTCAGACAGAGAAATAGAAGGGATTGCTTAGCATAATTCAGGAGAATATAAGTATTAATTACTTCTGTAAAAGGAAATATATTTTTGCATTTTTGGCACCAATGAATAAGGGTCTGCATGCTACACTCATGAGTTTACTCCAGTGAAGTGGCCCAGTAATTCACAGCTGCTATGATGGTGGTATTGCTAGGAAAGTGTTGCTCATGCAGTCCGTATTTCACTGGCCTGAACAGATGGAAGTCAGGAGGTGCCAAATCTGAACTACACAGTGGGTGTAGTAGGATGGTCCTGGTGTTATCATGTTACAAGAGAAGGGTTGCTTTCTTCTTTTGTCTGATTCTGGAAATTCGAACCTTCCACTTAGTCAGTGTCATGATGTAGTGGTCAAAGTTTGTCCAGGTTCCAGGATATCCAGAAGGATCAACCCTTTCCTATACCAAAGGCAGTGCGCATCACTTTGCCCACTGAGGGCTTTATCTTAAACTTCTTCCTTGATGGAAAATTCACGTTTCCACTCCATGGACTGCTGTTCTAACTCCAGTTCATAGTGGTAACGTGATGTCTTGTCACTGGTAATGATACAATTTAGGCAATTGTCACCTTCTGCCTCGTGTTGATTCAATAGGTCCTGACAAACATGCAGATGATGTTCTTTCTGCTCATGTGAGCATTTGTGGCACCCAGCTGGTGCAAATTTTGTCATATTCCAACACTGCCACCATCATTTCCAAAGCTGAAACCAATATTCAGATTTGTACACAGTTTCCTGGTTGTAATCTGTTGATTCCTGTGGACAAGCAGATCGAGATGCTCTTCGTTTCTTATTGTGACTTCTGCATGTGGCTGTCTGGAATGTGGCTTGTCTTTCTTGTCACTGTTGCCACTGTTGAAACATACGTACCATTCACTGTCTCTCACTGAGCCA